ATAAAAGTCTTAAAAAGATACCTAACAAACAAATCTGATACCAATTCACCGGCTCTGAAGGGATGGAAGTCCTCGTTGGCTCATTCGAACCGAGACCCCCGGTCAGAGGGCATTTTCTAATCGCCCCATTTGCACTCCTCGCTCACCATATTCAAATCAGGATTCCTTTATTCAGGGCTCTCAAAGAGGTCAACCAGAGAGGACCCCCTGCCACTTGGTTTCAAAATCAATTATTACTCTAACTTTACCCAAGATATGAAAACGTTAAGATTTCTCCAGTTATGAATGGAAGAAGGATTCACACGCATAACAGCAAACGAAATGTATGCAGATTAACCACTAATGAATTGGCTGAATGAGGTGGCATTAAAATCGTACTCTCGATTTGTAGTCGGAGATGTATGAGTTGGTCTCTGGAACACAATTGAAAGCAACTTGTATAGAGTGAATAGAAAAGTACAATTTAAAATCTCCGAATCACATGTGGAAAGATAGAATTAAGCATGAATATTTCTGCAGACCGAGTGTGCACGTGCATGAGAAAATTGCAGACGATCAAAAGAATTTGCAGACCAGAAACGACACGTGTTCTCAAAGTGTCCGAAAGCTAATCTGGTACACAAACAAACTGTTCACGTACACCTTCGAATTTCGGGCTGATTGAAGACTGCACGACAAATATCACCGAAATTAGGCGAAGCTCTTCCGGCCCAATGTTGTGGCAGCGGCTTGGTGCGAGCGACTGAAACCTACTTTCATTTATAGTACGAGTTTATTTGAATAATAGTACATCGAGGTTGACAATATGATTTCGGTGGCCAACGTTTCGGCGATTTCGCCTTCTTCGGAGCCTGAAAAAGGTGGAAACCAATTCATGATTTATCCGACCGAATGTCTCGCTACCCTACGAAAGCTTCGAGACGAGCTAAGACATCACATAACTAATAGGCAGATAAAGTACCGTACCTTCCTAGATCAGCGGAATCAGCTCACAGGAATGACTGTATAGTGGATATCAGACTAATCCGAGTACAGGGTTCCAGACTATTAAGTCAAATAAACTCGTACTATAACTATGCCGAGCTATCGAGGGTCGATTATGGCGACTTCCTTATTTGTTTATTTATTTATTTATTTATTCATTTATTCAGTTAAGTTCTTGCATTCACGGGTGTGGAGCGAAAATAACGAAATAACTAACTGAGGATCTAAGTGACGCCCACACATTTAGATGCAGAGATAGGGGTGAGAATTGCTCCTAATTTCGGTTATAAATTCACAACTCCCAGCCGGCGATAATTCAATAAATCAGAAGTAACTAAAGGAATTTTCGTAATTGGTAATTATTTCACTTCACCATTCTCAGCCGCAGTCCCCCATGCACCCTGGGACTCAGATGGGAATTTGGGGATTCAAACGCAGAGAGAATTATATGAAACTGTTTGTTGATCTTTGACAGCTTAGAACGTTCAAAAAAATTAACGCGTGATTATGAATAATAATAATAATAATAATAATAATAATAATAATAATAATAATAATAATAATAATAATAATAATAATAATAATAATAATAATAATAATAATAATAATAATAATAATAATAATAATAATAATAATAATAATAATAATAATAATAATAATAATAATAATAATAATAATAATAATAATAATAATAATAATAATAATAATAATAATAATAATAATAATAATAATAATAATAATAATAATAATAATAATAATAATAATAATAATAATAATAATAATAATAATAATAATAATAATAATAATAATAATAATAATAATAATAATAATAATAATAATAATAATACTGGAATTAGTGTTCTGAGTACCAAAAATGTCGGCTCACTAGGCTCAGCGAGCGGCAAGTCAGGAGGAAGAAGAAGTTGCAATTAACTAGAAAATGAATGGTGAACAAAATCAGATAAATAGGAAAAGATATTTCGTGGGAAATCAGGAAAATGAGACTAAAGAGCGTCAACGTCACGCCACCAGACAATGCTGATAAGGGTCAAATAGATCCGAAGTGACAAGGGAACGGTTTGTCATCAATTGACCATTCTGTGACCTTGTTGCGCTTTTTATTCCTTTGAGACCATTCAGATACCTGAGCTGCATCTAACGGCCACATACAGCATTGCAGGCCAATGTTGCAAAGAGATACTCGGTCTCTCTTCTCTTTTCCTCGTAATCTTATTCAAAAAGTGTTCCTCTAACACTTACGAAAAGCTCAACCTCTACTGAGCGAAGCCGAAGCGGCCACCAAGCCGAAAACGTGCCGAGTATGTTAATAATTGAAGTTCTTGTTGAGAACTTATTATGAAAACTACCTAAACAGTGAAATGGGGCGGCAAAAGCAGAAATGTCAGCTGCACGAGAGACACGAACGTGGGCGGGGCAAGTTGCAGGGGAGCGAAGTGCCTTTTGGATGCTGAATTACATCAGGCAAAGTGCGCGCTGTGGTGACAGAATAACGGCGCTTCAGAGATAATACACCAAGGGAATAGTTAAGTGTAATATGGCGTGTCGCGAGATGTCTCGAGATGGTTGACCAACGAGATAACCGCTGAATTAATGCTCTTGAACGCTTGTGTTTCTGGAACGGCAGTCACTTGATATTCATTTTCAAAAGAGTATAAAAGTTCTGGCGCTATACAAGACAAGGGAACACTGCAATGGCATCGCATTCAAACCCCTTAGGGTCTCTTTTCTTGTAAAAAACAGGGCTGGGCCGGGGAGAAGGGAATCCAGGCCGCATTAGCAATTTTCATTTACTCCGAAGTTCCTGCCCCCCCCCCTTTAGGCTCAGCCACAGAGGGGGGGGGAAGCTTCTCAAAGCTACTTGCGGATAGAGCCAAAATTCTGTTGAATCTTGAGACGCAGAAATTGACTCAAAGTTCGAGAATTCCAAACTACTTGTAGAGCTGCCTGATTGCCAACAAAGGTGTCAAAATTCGAAGAGGTCGAGTTTTTTTTTACTAATGATAAGTTTGTGGAGAGTATAGAGGAAGTAGATGGCACCCAATTTCCCTTGCGTGATTTGTGAATTCTAGCCTAGATTAGGCTATGTATTCATTTGACTCGGAGCCTTCTTTTTGACGCTCAACTTGTCTAGCAGGTAAAGTTGGGGTTTATTGGTAAACGGACCAGTAATTTTGGCTCTCCTCATCCAAAACATTAAGGCCGATTTCAGTGCATATAAACGATTCAGAAAAGGGATACCATTTGACCATCATATTTTTATAACACAAAGAAACACCAAAATTTTGTTTTGAAAAAGTTTCAAAAGCTCACAAAACTCCAATTACTCTTAAAAAATTCCAAAAGACCCAAGAAACAATTTTGGAATTTTTCGAAATTTTTTTGAACACTTGGAATTTTGTGAACTTCTGGAATCCTTTGGAATAGAATTTTGGTGCATCTTTGTGTTATGCAACATTTAAGTCTTGATGAGGCTCCGGAACAGGACAATACGACACCATATTTTTACTCACCAAACAGTCTAGTTTCAGAAATAGGCTGCCGTAGAGGTCATGAGAGTTACGTAGGAAAGGCGATGGCTGCAAAGGAGGTGGAAAATCAAATAAACCAGCGAAGGCAAAAAATGAAGGGGTTTGAAGCGACTAAGAACGAACGCTCTAGGACATGAGCACTTGTAGCTTGAATGGTGCTAAAAAAGTAATTGGAATCCTGCGAATTACTTAAAGAAATGACAGATGACATCAAATTCGTCCCGAAAGTGCTAAATGAAACAGCGCAAGTTCGGGGCACAAGGCTTAGCCAAAAGTATGGCGTATTTGGCTTAGTACGGCCATACATGTACGCACCTAGCTCCCGTTATTACAATGATGTTCAGTACAGGCACAACCCTAATGGTAAGGCTCAGACGGTATTTGAACTTGGATGAGACTTTTATTCTCCCCGGCCGGGAATTGAACCCGGGTCTCGCATGTGACAGACGCGGATACTCACCACTATACTACCGAGGACCCATCAGCACAGCGCTTGCACTGCAAGAAGTGCACGTTCGTGCACGCGTCTTGACAAATGTGCCTCGTAGGATATGTCCCACGTGGCAAGAAGTGCGTCCTCACGTCGAAAAATCGCCAATGGGACCGTTTTTGGTTTTCACAGTATTCATCAGAATATCACAATAAGTTGGAAAACGGAAATAGAAACGCTGCTTACATAGAAAAGCTATGAGCTCTGAACGTTCACACTGTGACTCGGCTATCATGACTTAGGTGTTCTACAGACATCTTTATTAAAGGTCCCCATTAGAGACTGCGAGAAGACACCTGGGGTACGGTGACGGAATGTTAACCGCCACCGTACCCCAGATCTCGAAGCCTGTAAAAGTCTCATCCAAGTTCGAATACCGTCTGAGCCTTACCATTAGGGATGTGCTTGTAACGAACATCATTGTAATAAAGGGAGCTAGGTGTGTACATGTGTGGCCGTACTAAGCCAAATACGCCATACTTCTTGCGCTGTTTCATTTAGCACTTTCGGGACGAATTTGATGTCATCTGTCATTTCTTTAGAAGTAATTCGCAGGATTCCAATTACTTTTTTAGCACCATTCAAGCTACAAGTGCTCATGTCCTAGAGCGTTCGTTCTTAGTCGCTTCAAACCCCTTCATTTTTTGCCTTCGCTGGTTTATTTGATTTTCCACCTCCTTTGCAGCCATCGCCTTTCCTACGTAACTCTCATGACCTCTACGGCAGCCTATTTCTGAAACTAGACTGTTTGGTGAGTAAAAATATGGTGTTTTAGTATTGTCCTGTTCCGGAGCCTCATCAAGACTTAAATGTTGCTTAACACAAAGCTGCACCAAA